TCGGTTTCTAATTGTTTAATTCGATCATTTTTGTTTTTCAACTGTTGTTGATATTGATTTGTTGTGCCATGTAAAGATGACGACGATAATGAACTTGATGAACGATCTGAGGACTTCTATGCAGAAACAATCTGAAATCAGTCAATCAGAAATCAATGTAATGATATTAGCATACTTTTGAATCATAATGTGCTTCGGCAATGACTGTATTGGCCAGTTTCAGTAGATCGGCAACTAAATCTCGATTATAGATTGGTTCAGGGGCGATACCTGTCGACTAAACGAAAAGAAGAAATCAATGTTGAAATGAGAAGTGTGGTTTGAATGGAACTAACTTCAGCTGCGGATAAATGAAGACAGTAAGATCGCTGTTTATCTTTCATTTCGAGAAGACGGTCACTTAGATAAGTTTTGACTCGATCTAATGTGTCACATGTTTGAAGAAGAAGATCACGTTCAATTTCGAATCGTTTCATTGCCCGAATCTGAACACAGAAAAAAAGAAGACATTGCATATCCGAAATGATTCATGGTTTTTACCATAGCAAAATCAACTTCATTGGTATGAATTGTATTTCGTCGTGTCGCTATTGATGGATGTTCACTATAGATATTTCCATTTTGTTGGAAAGGTTTTTGTAGAAGAACTTTCTTTCGATGACGCACAGGATTTGATGTGAATTCATGCGAATGATAGAGTTGCTGATGATTATGTTCCGTTCCGTTATAACTTCGATAAACAATGGGAATCTGATGTTGTTGTTGTTGTTGTTCAGGCTTTTTCGGTGTAGGAGTAACAACTACTACACTCGTTGAACGATTTAATGGAAAAGAGATAGGCGGAGGTGGACGTGTTGCTTTTGGAATGACGATTGGTGGTGTTGATAAAGATGATAATGATGAATCTGATGTTGTTATTTGTGGTGGTGAATGTTTAGTCGCTGATAATGATCTTTCAATAACATTCAAAAGTAAATCAAATGTAATAAGATAATTATTCGATTTGGATTCGTTTTCGAGGACATGGAGAATATCTAATGATGATGAAGAATTGTCAAAAGTAAATGTTGGTGTCCAATAACGCTTGAAAACGTCGAACGGAACATGCCCACTATTTGTTTTATCAAGAATAGAGAATAATTGACGTAAAGAAGAGATGAATGGTGCAGGAAGTGAAGTAATTATTCCTGATCTTGGACGACTCGATGAAGTAGAAGATAGAGGCGGTGGGGGAGGAGGAGCTCGAGATTTATTTGAATGTGAACGTTGGACAACTTGAATATGTTGTTGTTGTTGCTGCTGCTGCTGTTCTAATTCTTGTCCGTTCATTGTTTCTGGATCAGTTGATGACATACATCTAAATAAAAAGATTTCATATTTTAACATTGCATGAAAAGAGAATTTTCATATATAAGACATAGAACGAAATAGAAGTACAGCCTTGAAAATGACATAAATTACACGTTCTCATCTCAAAAATCAACATATTATTTAAACAAAAAAAAAGAAAGTGTGCGTATATATACGAAAAATTTGAATTTCGCTCTTTGAACTTAGAAGATTTCAAATGTATTTATGAATCTCTCTTTATTAATATATCTTACATTCGATTTCGTGTATGCTTTGTATGAAGATATCCGCATCGCATAAAGATGACACATTAAGTAAAAAGAAAGATAAGATCTTGCGACTCATTTTCTCTACATGTGTTGACCATAGATGATGGTCACACATATCCTTATCAAATTATCTAAGTTTTGCTTGTCTTTATCTTACGTCGTATTGGATGAAGTCGTACATCGTTGTAGTTTGCCGATCATCTGGTCCAGTCGATCGAGATCAGGACGTACGATATGTGTCAAAGCTGATCCTTTCGATTGTTGCTGCTGCTGCTGAGACATTTGCTCTTCGGAGGTGGTATGGATATTGAATCTCATATTTGTTTGAAAATGACTTGCACCGTGATTCGCAAGGTTTTCGCTTATACAACATGAAAGAAGAAGGGTGACGGAGAGAAGAGAGAGCGAGAGGGGGGGAGAATTCGAAACGTTAGTTGCATGTATACATGAACTGTGTAGACATAAATACAATGAGAAAGAGAGAGAGAAAGAAAAAGTCCATTAATAATTGTTCTTCTCTTTCGTGTCATTCTTATGTTTACGAGATGAGAAACGAAAATGAAACGATGTAAAATCAATAAATTGAATCTGACATCGATCGAATGGAATAAAGCGTATGAACATTACAAAAAACGCAACTACATTCATACATACATATGCGTTTTAAACGAAAATCATCTATGTCTTTACCTTTCTAATAAATGTTTTTTTGATAGCAAACAACAAACCAACATGTTCATATATTGAATAAATGAAATAGCCATATGTATGTTAGAATGAATCAAGTAAAGGTCGATCTTCGACAAGTTATCAGAAGAAGAAAACAAGAAAAAATGATGTTCGTACAATGGTATGCATCTATGTATGCTCAGTCAGTCGATTCAATTATAAGCACGCTCTATGCTCTAATATAATAATGATGATTCGACCAGTGAACAACAACAGCAAGATAGGTCAAGTCAAGCGAGCCAACTCGATATGTCTGGCTGTCTACATATGTCTGTCTATCTCAAAGGATGTACGTACATCTTTTTCGTTAGAAGACAAACAATCAAGGGAAGTCATTCAGTGAAAGAGAGAAAGAAAAAAGAAATCATCGAGATAAATGAGAAAACAATCAATGTCTATTTTAGCACATACATTTGGATATCAGATTTAATAGAAAGGAAAAGACAAGTCGATTATATTATTTATTGCTTAAAAATCAAGTGAAGTGAACTCTTTCATTGTAACTGTCTTTATCAAAACTACATAAAGATTATAGTTCTCACTTTGTCTTCAATGAACTCTTTACACGTAGGTCGAAAAGGAGAAAAGTGTTTCATCTTCAGTCTATTACTATTATTGTTGTTCTTCATCTGTTTTAAAGACAGTAGAGTATACTTCAAACTTACAAGGTATCAGCAAACATCTAAATGGCAAAATGTTGTCGTTTATATTGTTGCTGTTGATAATAATGATGCAAAATATATCGTATTGTCGCCTCCTCCAACCGAATGAACTTATGGACGTATGCTTCTCGTTGTCGATACAAACGTGTATTGATTGAAAGAGAAAAAAAGTGAGCAAGGAAAGAAGAAAGAACAGAGAGACAGAAAAGAAAAGTGAACGGCTCCTTTGTATATATATATTTACATTTATATATATATATATATATGAAATATGAATAAATACGTCGTGTGTATATATATATAGAAAGAGATGTATGTGTGTCTGAGTCGGGAGGAGTATTTAGGTCCTTTCGTCGACGTTTGTTTCTAATGAATGCCTCTCGATCGATCTCGTATACAGATGAAGCATATACAAAAAATTAAACGAAAAAACAATAAATCACTATTCATCTGCTTGCACATTCATACGTCTATATATAGATCGGTGCATAATGAACGAAGAAGACATATGATGAGATATTGGATAAAAGAGTCAAGATAGTTACGAATAAGATATTGAGTGATGATTTGCCTGTCGGCATTCGTATTTGCCGGTAGAATTCATCTAGTCAGTAAAAGAAACAATCTTATCTATTCCTTTGTCAATCCCCTGTGGTTATCAAATACCAATATGGAACAAGTCGAGTTAATGTCGTTCATATCTGTTCGATTGTTTTTACTTCTTTGCCTAATAATCAACTCCAGATGGAATATATTAGAGAGATGAACAATGATGACAAGCAATAAATGAATGTCAATAGTTATCTATCGACACATCATCTTACAGTCAGATCATTTGCTTGATTCCTCGATGATAAGACGAATAGAAAAATTTCATCGAAATTTTGTTATTAATATAGATGATATAAAAGTACTCATGGGAAATTTCGCCTGTCTTGTTATTCTCAATCAATCGGTTTGTAATGTCATGTTCTTTTTCTTAACGTTCGGAATCACCGCGGGAATCTTATTAATTAACTTTCTTGTTGCATGAACTAAACTTTTGATTAGATCTAACTGCATATTTCGAATTGATAACACATTCTTTGTTCTATTTAGATAAAGAATCTCATTGATTTTGTTGTTTTTGATGTTTAGTCATCACATCGCGTACATAAAGATTTCGTTCTTTTTTCAATGTGTGTGCAATCGATGAATTAGTTTTGCTTGATCGATCAGATGATTGAGAAGAAAAAAATCGAAACTTATTGGAACAGTTTCGTTTTATCGCACATGACTTTCGAATTTCGTTTGCACTCAAGATAAAAACAAGATCATCTGTCAGTGAACGACATTGATTGGCTCAATATTGGCTAACGAGTTTATGGTTTCCAATAGCTGCCGGAATTTCCATTTGTGCATTGGTCATGTCAAACGTTGAGAGATGAAGAATTTCTGAACCAAACGAACCTCTTAATTCCATATATTTGGGATTGTTGACACAACAGAAACAACATTTCGACAATAAACGTGAACAGCAATCTTGCGCTTCAGTAGATTCACGCATTTCAGCGATATCACGTAAGAAAATTGCTGCATCAGTATAACTTGGATTACAGCAACATCCACAACATTTCGTATCTTCTGATCGCAGTAATAGTCTCGTATCTGTAAGTGTTGTATAATACGATCCCGTACATCCACAGGAACCTTCTGTAAATATCCACGAATGTAATAGATTTTCATTGCCTAATAAACGGAAAGAATTGTGAACATTCGATAGATTCGTTGGTTGCCTAGTAATATAACCCGATGAAACTTTCCTTGACATTGACGTCGAAAAATTCTCGTGTAAAATTCAACTTGACGTTTTTCTTTTCGAGAGAAGTGTGTTTAAGTTGTCCTTTTTTACAATTACCTGTTTTTCTTTCTGTCGATGAGTAGTTTAAATGAGATGTTATGTACGGTAACCATTGCATTTTAACTTTTGAAACCCTACAAGTATGTTAAGAAGAAAACAGATGAAAAACAAAACATTTTTGACCAAGGATATTTGATTAAAATGAACTGATTCAGTTCAGCGGAGGATTATTTATATAATAAATTCAATTTATTTCTTTTTTTTTCGCTTTGAATAAAGTCAAGTACTCGATTAATTCCCTTTCATTTAATCTTAACGAATCCATTGTACCGATAAATCGGATTGTGTAAGGCAGTTTTGATTACTTGAAATCGACTATGTAAATGAATGCATTTAAGTTTTCTTATATATCAGATTTACTTTGTTCTCTATTAGAATGAAACTTATTCAAAATATGTTCTGCTATGTACAAAAAGTAACACGAGAAGAATAAACGGAATAAGAGTGGAATTTGTTACTCGGGATGCACGACACACGAATTAGTCAGATAGAATATATACGTTTGGTGTAGATAGATATATAAACGCGAAAAAAAATAGAAGCAAATAAAAATACTACTAGCTTATAAACACGATAATAAGAAGAGCATGAGTAAAAAAACGAACATGATCAATCCTGAGTCTGTGTTTGTTTGTTTTTTTCTAAAAGTTCAATTGTTCACCCTCTAATTTCTGTCCTGTGCTTGAATAAACATCATAATTTGCTAAGACATCTTTCAAATCCGATGCTTTGATCCGAACATATTGTTCGCCGGCTAAACCTGATGTTGGTTCACCCGTCTCATCAACAGTGGAGTCATAAGTAATTTCGCCTGGATTTGCTGTATAGTATCGTGTTGTTGTTGTTGTTGTTGTTCGTCGAGTACTATTAGATAAATCGACTTGATCAGATGGCATATCGTAAACTTGGGACCCAAGTTTTGTTAGAAGATGTGTGGGAAATTTCCCATCATTGTTCGCATGAGATCGTAATAAGACTTCTTCAGTAAGAACAGGTCCTCGTGAGACAGTTTCATTGAAATTATAACTATTTCCATCGTAAATGGCTCCGGAATTGGTTGGTGAACCACTGTAGACAGCTCGCTGTTCTCCATATTCATCAACAGCTGCTGCATGAGATGCGGAACGAAGAAGACGAATACCTGAATTTCTAGAAGATGTTGTAATACTATAAAAGAAAAAAGATTGTTTAGTTTTCGATGTGACAGTGGACAGAACATAGTAGTATACTTATTTAGGATTTGTCGAACACTGTATTCGTCAGCTTGTTCGAGAGCAACTTCTTCTTTTGCTGCAGACACTTGCTGCTCTTGCATCAATGCTAATTCTTCTTGTAAACCTAATTCAGTTAATTTTCGTTGAACAAATTCTGTAGCATAGAGTTTATCGCCGTGCTGACTGTAATATCTGTGCGGATCAGCATCGTGAACACCAAGTTTTTTCACATGTTTCACAACTTCAACTTCAGGCGGACGCCATTCAATAATTGTGTTCTTTATTCGAGCCTGTGCCTCAAGTGGTTTGGCTTTTTCATGAATCACTTGACGTTTTTGTTTGTGATACGGAAGCCAACGTTCAATGATAACTGGACGTGGTTTGGGTGGTAGTTTTGGCAAACGTTCAATAATTAATTTACGTGGCGGAGGTGGTGGAGGAGGAATAACCTCTAGAGAAAAAAAGGGGGAATAATCAAGTGGTAGTAGAGGTCTGTTAACTGAATGAAATCACTTACTTTTAATAACTGTTGTCGGAACAGATTTTGGACGTGCTGGCGGTTTTTCACGAATAATAACTGGCGAAGGAGTACGAGGTGGAGGGGGACGTTGGCGAAGAATAATTGGTGGAGCAGGTGGTGGTTGTGGTGCACGAATTTCTCGAATAATAATTGGCTATATGACACGAAAAAAAGCAGTCAAGCAATGATTTTCGATAAATTCATATGCTTTGCTTACTCCTGGAGGTGGCGGTGTACTTGGCTTTAGATATCGCACGGCAATATCTTGTGTATAAGTCAATCGTTGTGTATTTGGTCGAACAATCAGTTCAGGATTTGCATCAACATTGATTGGATAATTTTTCACATCAGGTGTTGCTTGTGCTGTTAAAGACTGAACTTCTTGATCTTCTAAAACACTATTTGTATATGTCACATTTGACTGCATTAACTGCCTAATAGATGCATCTTCGACATCGCTACTGCCATCCCGATAATAATATTCCCTGGAACCTGAACGCGACAATCTTTCTCCGCCATCAGTCGCATAACCTGATGTGACTAACGCCGAATATGTCACACCGCCTGCTGATCGACTTCGTGTATTATATGTGTCATATTCATCAGTAACTCGTGTTTGTCTCATACGATTGGTACGACCTGTAGGTACATCCAAAACATATCGACGAGGTGGAGTCATTACAGATCCTGCTGATGATGATGGTGCTATGCCACCTGCATTTGCATTAGTTGTTGCAGTCGCTGAAGTATTAGTCGCCCCTCGACGACCGAACTGACGAGTTGCAGTAGCCATCTATAAGTTAAATCGTATTTTCAAATGTCTTTCAATCAAATAGAAGATGAATGAGAAATGACAACCAACAATTCATCAAAGTTTCAGTTTGAAAATATTGATTTAGACGTGTCCAAAACTAATAGAAAAACAGAGAGAAAGAAAGAGAAAAACTGCGGCTTTCCAAGAATAAATATTAACCTTTCTTTCCTTCTTTCTTTTATCCTGTATTAATCGACAGAAAAAAAATTTCTATACTATTTACAACTTACTCCAGCTTTTTCCTGGAAGAAAAGTCGGAAATTATTTTTACGTTCATTCTTCTTCTTTTCACTCAATCTTCACCTAGTACTTACTATATTGTACGTCTAAGAAAATAATATCATTACGGAGATTTCATTCGTGAATAGGCACGGAAATCTCACACACATGTTTTACTTAACAGAATTTAACCGAGAAAAGACAGGCAGAATAAGTATATTAGGATCATTCCTGCTTTCATATTTAAAGATGGAAAAAATAGCCTTGGCACATATATATCGAAAGGAAAAAAGAAGAAAGAAAAAATAAAGGGATGAAAGTGAGAATTTATGACAACAGTATAAAAATAGAAAGTAACACTATGCTGATTTTGTTCTTATCAATCTATTGATAGGAGCGAAGTCAAGAGAAATATATGAGTGATATACAACCTATTTCTCAAACGAGTTTTCTTACACCCATCGACAATTCATTGATTCCAAAAGAAAACAAATCAAAATCTGAAATGACAATCACATCGTCATCAAATCACGCAAAAAGATTTAATAATATGAACAATTTCATTCATTTTTTTGTTAATGTACATACTTGAAAAAGAGATGAAAAAAAATAAATATGAATTTTCACTTCAAGTAACCTCCGTACATTAACATATGGCATAAGAAACCATATAGAAAAAGAAGAAAAAAAAGTACATATTTCATTTCTCTCTTTCCCTCCCTCTTGTACGTCTATGACGTTGTTGTGAAAAGAAGAATGATACTCACATGTATCAATCGATAAAGAAATACACTCGTTTCGATTTATTTAATTGACCGATCGAGCGCGGCTAATTGCTCTTCTTACTGTGATAATGATTAGAACTAGAG